TTTTTTTCATGAAAGATTAATTAAAATTTTATAAATAAAATAATTTTGTATTATAGCCTTATTTCCCACCAACTTAGTATAATTAATTGCATAATTCAGTTTATCTTTCCACTTCCCGCATGCCTGTGTAAAATGGTACAAGCAGAAATACTGCTAGTGTTCCAAAGTGCAACACCATAAAGGAAGAATCCAATAAATTAGATATTTACATAATGTGTAGAACTTGATATGAAATATAAACGATTAATATTACAACGCATTTGTAAATCATATTGGTCTATAACGCAACCTAGAACTATTATAAAGAAGTAGAAAAGTGGACTGCTTTAAATATTTGAATAGCGTGTTTCTTCACCGTTTCTCTTTGCTGTTTCCATGATTATGCCACATCTCTACATCAAAAAGAACAATAAATGGGAAAATGGCAAGGAAGTTTCTGAGTTAGACCGAGCGAGGAAGAATTGTGGGGAAGCCTCAGTGATGCAAATATGGAATGGTAAAGTGTGCGAGGGATAAAACCTATCATCTGAAATGATTGCACCAGCGTGATTGCCGAACGAAAAAGCATGTTATGCGCATGGTAATGACTGATCGAACTGTAACGTCAAGAGCTCTTAGCGGGAGACATTGTAATTTCCGATGAATCTCTCTTCTGCCAACAACAGTGTGATGGTCGTATTCGAGTCTGGATTCACCGCGGTGACAGACAGCATGACACTGCATTATACAGAGCTATACCTGTCTATGTTTTCGAGTGCCACTGAATTTACTTAGCGCAACCGCGTAATACGCAGTGATGGCACAACCACTACATCTCTGAAATTTTGGAATCTGTTGTCCTTCCTTACTAAACATCCAGATTTTATGGATTAAAGCGCACGTGGACCACAGGGGCAATGAGGATGCAGACACTCTTGCAAAGGAAGCTGCAAAGAATATCGGTGCGCAAGATGTCCAGATCCCGCTTCCCAAATATTATCTAAAGCGAGTCTGTCGCACTAAATCGCAGCAACAATGGCAAGAGGAATGGGACTCTATATCGCAAGGCCGTAGAACCCATGACTTTGTCCATAGAGTTTCCCAAGTTCGACTCATCTCAGCCCCTTTTCTTTCCCGTTTCATTACAGGCCACGGACCATTTCCCCAATACTTCTATCAAAGGGGAATATCAACAACTGATCATTGTGTCTGTAATGAAGTAGGTACACCTGATCATTACGTTACGTCTTGCCCTCTCACGGAAGAATGGCACATGAGGCTTCCTGATACTGACATTGCTTATAAACGCTTCTTCATTAAGCAGCCAGCCTATCTCAAGAAGCTCAAAAGCATTATGAACAAACTTGAAGCACTAGGACTAGAATTATGCAGCCCACAATAACAGACTTAAATTTCGCAGAGATTCAAAGCACACTGGTTTCCAGTACCTCTGCAAGAAGCCCATCTTGAGTCAGTACGCAGAGTAACATTAGGCTGGGAACACGAAAAACAAATGTAAATATGATTTAATATTATCCAAATGTAAATAGTTTAATTATGTATATTTGTAATGAGCATATTAATGCATGGGTGCAATATTCTAAGCATGTGCGTTTTATAAATAGAATATTGTGCAGCGTATTGTGAATAATGTATTGTACAGCACACTGTGTATAGTACCTTGGTAAAATGTGTAAGTGCTCGTAGCATGCAGAGCTATGCTTTGAGCCAAAGGAAGCATAATAATTATAACTGTAGTGCTACAACTTAATGTATTCAAGAGCACAGAATGTAAATATTATAGTGGTAATTATTTATAGTAGTTATATGTATGTAAATATTATTGCATTCTGTAAATTTTAGTGCATTGAGTGATTTATATATAGTAGTGTGTTAACGTGCATATTATGAAATGTATAGCGCATGGTAAATACGGTATTTAATTATCTAGCACATGTAATTTTTAACTGCAATTAATTTAATCTGTAATTCCCTCAATGTGTATTTCTAACAGTGTTTTTATAAGCTTTTTGTATTAAGAATTATGTTGTATATAACAAAGAGTTACTACCACTGCCTATATTATTCAATCAAAAGTAATGTTCAATGTAATATGTAGCCAATACACACAGTGCATTAAGTGTAGAAATGAGTTTTGTAAGGTGTCCTAAATATAGTGCAGTGTTCAATGTAATATGTATTATAAACATTTTAGTGTATTGGGTGTTTTATATAAAGCAGTATGTTAAGGTGCAATGTAACCAGTAGAATGTTTAATTACAAAGATATTTTTGGTATGTTTTAAGAATACAGCAAAATATATGCCACAGTTAACTTTTAGCATGTTATTTAATCAAAAGTAATATGGGCTGTACTATGTCCTTAAATCTGTATTTTGTATATTATAAGTACAGCACAAAGTAAACAAAGAGGATTTCTGTGTGCAAAATGTGTAATCTGTTTGTAATGTGCAATTCTGCTCTTTATTTAAGAGATTTTAATTTATTTATCTGTTGTATCAAGTTATTTATTTAAGTCTGTTTTATATAACGAAGTTATGTACTATATAATCCAGTTATATCTTATTTAAACAATTACATTGTTCAGAATCTATGGTGAATTGTCAAGAATAATGTTCAGCGTAATATGTTGCAAAGAATATATAGTGTATTAAGTATAGCATTGAGTTGTAAATGTGCCTTAAGTACAGTGCAATGATCAACGCAATGCATATTATGAAATGTTATTGTAGCGAGTATGTGTAGCAATGTGTTAACATGCGATGTAGCCAGGAAAATGTTTAATTTCGCATGCAGAAAAATCTATATTTTGCCCTTGTATGGCCATGTACTTTGCCCTTGTATTGTTTTTGGAGTGTAGCTTCAGATAGTTGCGGGTTCCGGACGATACCCGACTAGTCTATGTAAACCGTCCGGGTGTCCGGACCTGCTCTCACCTGTCACCTTACTGAAGTTTGCCCGAGTTTAATTTTCAAAAGGACAATGCGGAGCCGCAAGAGGAGCGAAACGTTCAATAATTCTCATCGGGTTGAAGTGATGCCCTGTATCTGCGATCGAACATATGTTGTTCGAGGATAAGCAAACAAGTGGCTGAGCATATATCATTCACGAATGTGCGAAATGATTTTTGGAAACGTGTGGAAACAGCATGGACTGACAAATTCATATTTATAGCTTCTTACATTGCCGTGGTGTGCAGAAGCTATAGTCAGCAGCGTTTTATGCAGCGGATGAATATAGGGATAAAATATTGACAATATCGTTACAGTATTGGCAATGAAACTTGCAGCGAAATATTTTAGTTTATTTAAATATTTTACCAATGTTTAAATTGTTTAGTTAAGCCCACGCGTAACCGAATCGATGGACCACTGAGCTGAGTTAGTTCGCACTTACCGATGAAAAGACAAGTTGCTCCCCGAGGTTTCGTGGGCTTTCTCGCGTGCAACGTGAATGCGAGCCAGTTTTTTTTCAAAACTCCTCCCCAAAGGCATTGCTTCTTTGGTTAAGTAGTCCTCGCTGCTGTTTAATTAAATCATGCAACCAACTAAATTAAGTAAATACTAAGAATACGAGTAGTATTTACCGTATTTGACGGCATATAAGACGCACTTTTTTTCCTAAATTTGGTCTCAAAAATTTTACCTGCGTCTCATACGTGAAGGACACAGTCTTATATGTGAAGGTAATTGCATTCAATAATTGTTTATTTGGCTTTTACGAAACATGAGAACTAAAAGAAACCACGCTATTGAAACTTTTTTTCCTTGTGTGTGGCCGTCTAAATAAGGGTGCGTCTTATATGCCGTCAAATACGGTACTTAATTTAGTTGTTCAGTTGTGGAGAACCAGAAATTTGTATTTCCTGAAATGACGCTACATTTCACGTACCGCTTTATTAGGTACTTCTCATAAGTTTCGAGCCTCATATAGGTAGAATTCTTTGACAAATCTCAATCTTTCTTTTAGTTCGTTTAAATTTTATAATATCCATACAGGATCCATTTTTATATTAGAATTTAATAAGTTTACATGATTACTGTATACAGTGCCCCGTGGCTTTTCTAGAGAAACGATTCCGGTTTTATTCACATCACCAAATAACTTTCTAAAATTTAGAAGTATTTTGAGTCTTTTTTCTTTGATTTAGTTTAGCAAGAGCTATTAAGAAAATATTATCATATGACACTGTGATATAGTTTATAGCTGAAAGCCATTTTAGAAGTTTTCCAGGCAAATGGTCACATATTTTGAGCAGCGTATTTGTGCATTGTGTATTGTTTGAAGTGTCTCACCAGTGGCCGAGTGATTAAGACTGCTAAATGCTAGAAGTTCGACCTAGAACAGATGCCAGGAAAATGGGTTCGCTTCATTGTTGGCTTTCATGGTTTTCCCCACGTGTAACAAAAATACGAGGCAGTTTGCCTTAGAAAGTCCTTTACGAAGACGTTCATTCCCTTAGGCAAATAACTCTCGTATACTTTGCCATATTCAAATAACTAATCTGTTTACATTATTTGGTTTATAATATTTCAGGAAACAAAAGATTCTGTAAAGTATTATACAAAGACTTGTAATGGTGATACACGTTATACTACAGTTACTTTGAAGATGAGTACGTGAAAGCCAATCGTTGCCAGATTGCTACTGTGATGTGAGTATGTTCAGTAATTTACCGAATTCTTCCCTCATCTTAGCGTTAATAAGTTTATCAAAAGTGTAATGCATTTTGCTGCAATGAAAATTTTGAGAAATTCGGCAATTAGCATGACATCACATTATCCATGGAACATTTACATTACAGAACAACATGCGCTATCTGCAGAAGGATATGTGCGTTAAAACATTAAATAAATAATGACAAATTTCAAGAAGAAAGTACTGGATATGTTGCAGAGAAAGCAAATCGAATGTTATTTTCAGCTATTTTGACAAATGATATAAAGAACAAAATACAATTTGCTGCATTGTCAGCAAGCAGTTATATTGATTTTCTCTTACTTTCTATTAAATCTCCTTTTGCCAGTTGTAAGTGACCGGAAGTTGATGGATTATATTCCTCCACACAGACGCAAACAGATTCCGTCATTGGAGTGGATTTGGCAGAATCGAAAGGGTCCGAATCCGTGCCGCTACTGTTGGCGCCAGCGCCAGTCGTCTCAACTCCTATGGAAAGAACACATTTTTATCATTTAAATAGTGACATGCTAACAAAAATACACACATACAGTACTTTTTGCAAGTTACAAAAATATTGCTTGGTTAAAAATGATATCTACAAGTAAATTCCAGCAAATTATTCAATTTCAATGCAAGTGTTATTCCCCTAAGTTATTCACCAGTTTTCTATGCAATGAGATGTAAGTTACAAAATAGTAGTATACATCAGTAAAATAAATAGACGAAAGCTTTACTAAAGAGCGGAATTTTACTTTTTAGATATTATTTCGTGAAAAACTATAAGATAATTAAAGGCTTTTACTAGTTTTTATATTTATTTCTTCCCCCCTCTCTTTTTTTTTTCTTTCATGCATGTAATACTTACTATACTGTGGGTGGATATGATAATATCAGTTATATTTTCATGATGTTGTTCCTCTCTGACGCAATTTAGTAATCGAAACAGAAACTATCCGATAACAGTAACCGTAAAAATAGTAATAACTTATTACTGGGCAGCTTAGCAAATCAACTAAGAAAGATGTGTTCTCAATAAGCATTCCTCACAGACGCCTGTGGTTTCACTTGACATCCATGTTGGGCGGGTTTAAAAGCTTGAAAATTATGTTAGTCCTAGAGTTGCGGTTTGAATTTTCAAGCAATAAATTCAAAAAACTATAATTTATCTTTCCCAATTCCATATTTATATTGCAGAGTGAACATGAAAAAAAAAATGATAAATAAAAATGAATGAGAACAGGTCACAGCAAAGATTTGCCCTTAACAAGATCTGGTGTTTCTAAGTACGTGTTACTTTATATTTATGTTATTATACTGGGTTTATATTTTCTCATTTTTTTAAATGTTTTTCTCAATTACCTATGAAATGAAGAAAAATGTGTTAGCAACAAACAGTTCATTTCACAATGATTTTGAACTGTAATACTGTTATTCTGATGCTTGATTCTAAAAATGGAGTGTATTAGATTTAAGGTGCTTTTTTATTATTTCCCATTATTAAAACGGCGCCCTATTATTTAAACGGATCCAAGATAAATTGCCAAAGTATGGCCCAACGGTCGGCCTGAACGGTCGGCGGTCGTTAGCATCTTCCTCTAAAAATTGTTAAAAATTTTTTAGGGGGAATAGAAAATATAAAAGAAATAAAATTATAGTAAGTGGTCTATTTCAGAGCTTTTCTCTGGACAGAAGTATTATAAGGGACTGTAGTTAGAGCTGCTGGCTGTTAGACGACGGTTTGCGACATATGTTGGGTGATTTACCTATAGTCTTACCGCCGTTTTAATACAGGGCCCGGATTATTGGTACCGTTCTCAAATTGTAGAGCAGACATTTAAGTTTCCAACCAGTTATTTTATGTTAATATCCTTTTTTTTTTTTTTTTTTTCAGTCTCATTTTTATTTCCCTGACGGAACGTAAATTTCTAGCTCGCGCGCTATTCAAATAAGGTAGACAATAGAAAGTATTTAAAGGAAGGTTTTAGAGGGTAAAATCAGAGAGCATTCTGCCTGCTTGAAGGCCACGTTGCTAAATTTGATTCTCTCGATTAGTATTCTGCGACGTTGAGTATTCTTGCAATAAAAATGGTAGTAACAATAAAATAGTATTAACTGTTTACGCCGACTTCGGTCAGAGCCAGCTTGCGCGCTAGTGATACTGTGAAGCCATTAGGTTATATTTAATTAGTTTTAGTTCATCTATTATCTTTGATTTATGCCAAAACTATTGGCCTCTCTAAGCACACGCTGGTGCCGACTCGTAAACGTTATTTGGATTAAATAAAGGATCCATTACACCCTTTCCCTTGTCTCTAAGGTACTTACATGACATAGTAATAACTCACCAGTTGTTTTTTAGAGTTCTGCTCTACCTGATGCTGCCTGAGAAGTCCAGACTCTATCAATTCAATCAGAAAACACGTACTAGCTGTTGTCCTTAAAGTATTCTATAAAAAAATATGCTCGCGCAAGCACTTTTTATCTGTAAGTATTCTGCCAGAACTGAGGTAACTAATGTTACCTAAAACGAAATGACAAGCTGATAGATCTCATAATTTAATGCTAAGTTTCAGTTAAAATTCCTTACCAAAAAATAGTTAGATTATATTTGGTTATTTATTTATTTAGCTCAAATAGCTGTTACACTAAAAAAAGCATCACTTACAGATTCAGTTTTAAAACTGTTTTTCATTAGCAATTGTAATTCACAGGAAAAAGCTGAACTTCCTTATTACATTAAATATAAAATGAAAAGAAAACGTTATCTTCACTTAACTTGCTAAGGTAAGATTCGTAACTCAGATACAATAATTGTGAAAACAAGATGAACCTCGCTTATCAAGTCTTTAGGATATGTCTTATCAAGTCTTTAGGATATGTCTTATCAAGTCTTTAGGATATGTCTTATCAAGTCTTTAGGATATGTCTTATCAAGTCTTTAGGACATGTATTTATTTAGAATTTAAGCAAACCAATTAAAATCATTTTATTAAAAATTCAAATTTAATCTTAGGATGATTAATTTTTGTTCTTGATTTTTATAATTTCATTTTTACTATTATATGGAAGAATATAAGTTGTTTTGCGTTTGAAATGCGTTTACAATAAATTTGCGCTCTATTTGCTTTATGTTAAATATCTTTAATGCATTTTCAATTAAAGTAAAAGCAAATGATATGATAACCTAAAGTGTTTTCATTACTGATATTTATAATTTAATGCTAGATAAAGTAAACTTTCGGTTTAGTTTTTCCCTCTTCGTATATCCTTTTAAAATACGATCTATGGACAAAAACATAAAACTCAGAGACTTTAGGTAAGTAAATGTTTCCTATTTGAAAGGCTAGATTTATTCTGGAAAGTTGCATTCAGATTGACATGAACTTAGAAAATAAAATGAAATTCTTTTCGTTGTTTTGTTTTCAAGAGATGTAGCGAAGACGAAGGTAAAGCTGCTTCACCTCTTAGACTTTGCTCAGAAAATCAAGCAAATCCTTAGGAAAAGGTTTGGAAACCATTGGATTTTAGATATGGAAGACTTTAAAATGTCAGATGTTATATGCAAGACTGTCTTTAAAATGTCTGTGAACAGTAGAATTTGAAAATTTACATTAATCAATATATCTGTTTTGATCATCTGAACTGAATCTGTTCTTCTTTCTCAGAAGAAATGACGAAGAAAGAACTAAACATTTTCAATTAACACAATATTCAAGCGATAAATTTTCATTTATAATTGACTTCCATTGTATATTCTTCATAATTTTGTTTGAACCCATAAAAAGGGGGAAAAGAAACACATAAACATACATTCTTGCGCGGGATTGAATCTGCCTCCTGGAGTTAGTACTAGTAAACGGCCTTGGCTGGTACATTCCGTCCACGAAGACTCAATTGTCTGTGCTTATGTTTACTTTTGAGGTAAACATTGCTTTGGCATTCGTTTAATTTTGGTTATGGCGAAATTAATTCCAATTTAAATTCGGCAAAACAGCAAACTTATTTTTATGAAAATTTTGAAAAATTTAGAAGGAGCTCAGACACACGCTTCTCTTGTTCAGAAGCTGAAATATTCTGCAAAGTGGGAGGGAATGACGAATATTTTTATATCGAAAAAAAAAAAAAAAACTGGCAGAACAAAACAAACGAACGTAGAGTCATCTATCGTGCAAAATTGTAGCGAAAATTGAAAAATTAAGCTATTAGAATTCTAAGAGCGCTAGGAAGGAAGAATGTTCTCCTTGCACCGTCCTTTATTTTCAGTTTGAATATTCTCCTTCCATTTTATAATTTTTTCTATGCCTGTGGGTCTGTGCCTGATTGCGCTCGAAATCGATAGGGGTTTTTTTTTTTTTTTTTTTTTTCATTCTGTGTCAAAATAAAATCTTACTTTGCTTAATTTTGAATTTTATACTGCTATATTTCTCTTTCAGTTTAACAATTAAATGATTATATTTTTTAAGGTATCTAAAAAAGACCTTTTTTGCTATAAAATACATAATGCAAAACACAGAGATATACTGGAATACGATTCGTTGCAAAAAGGAGTAATTCAATATAATATGGTCGAATATGGCATTCAAGTTTTTCTGTCAAAAAGAAAAAAAAAAAAAAGGATAGCGCACTTGAAGCTGAAAAAAATCTTTTTTGGGCGTCTTGTCATTTAAGTTTGTTTAAATAGCATATTTCACTTTTTCTGTTTATTTTTTATATTATGTGTTAACTATTTCTGTCTGTTGCACGTCTGATATAACTCTTTCATTTTAAATCTCAAGGTACATGCTCCAAGATCTTCCCGCATATGTAACGAAAATCTGAGCCAGTTCCCATAAAATATCCTCCACAAAGTATCCGTCCCTATAGGCAGATAGCCCTCGAATGCATTGCCGTAATGAAATCCTCCAATCTAATCCTGTTCCAAGTTATTAACATCAAAATTCGATGCTGTATGCTTACTGTACTTACCGGTGGAATGGTTGGCCACTGGGCCTCCGCTATCGTCTGCATCTTCTTCCCCAGAGACAGACTGATGAATACCTCCATCGGAGCTGGATAGGTGCGGCAGGGAGTGGTTGGAAGGACAGGGGGAAGGGGGTTTCCCGCCCGATATGACCAGTTCCAGTCGCGGATCGCTGTGGTTCTGGCTTGTAGTGCCCATGTTCGCCGTACTCGTCCTTCGCCTCGGATTGTAGCGAGGTGCCTCTCGATATGGCACTGTCGAGGAAAGATGCATTACAGAACGGAATCTCATACTGAGATTAATTAAAAGTTGTTTCATGTTCCGAAAATGTGGTATTATAAGTTTGTTTTAATTTTGCGGTCGGTTATAAAGATCTCAAAGTTAGGAAATTTTGAATACAAGCGAAATCAGTAAATCATTTTATCTTCAGTATGGGATGTGCGAGGGAATGATACCTGATAATAATTTTACCTAAACTATTTGTTCAGTTTTGTGGTAATTTACCGAAACGTTTTATCGGGAAATGCTACAAGAAGAAGGGATAATAACGAGTTTATATTGCAGCGGCATCTACGATACTTTTCGGTTTCAAAATTATAAAGGAATATTTTTCATATAAAACGTTTCTAAAAAAATTAAGGGTTATTTTGAATTCCTGAAATATTGAACCCTGACACTGGAAGTTTTGCCTTCACGCCCAATCGTTAAAACAACAGATTATCAGTAATGTCGCGCAGAATTCGAATTCGAAACCCAGTTCCGGAATGGGTTGGAGCATAGATATTTTCTTACTTTTCCTCATGCATAACAAAAATATGATACAATTCCTTTCAGAATGGCACTACATGAAAGCAACTAATTTGCTTAGTGTTTCGTCACAAGTAGCTGATCGTGTAGCTTCATTTTAATCGTTATATTTCTTAAGCAAAGAAATTTATATTTTTTTCTAATTTATTTCTTTGAATGCTCTTTCTGCTTGCTAACAAAATTTTGCTGGCTAATAAATTTTCCTTACTGACAAAATACTGCTTGCTGACAAATAAGTGCAATTATTTTCTCTATATAAGACTTTAGCCTCCAAGCATGAACATCTTGGGAATAGAAAATCATTTGCGCTGTTTCTGTGTACAACTTCGCGAAAATTGTTAACCCTTTGGCGGTTGCAAGATGCAGCAATCCTTTTTTCTCAACAGGGCAAAATGTTAACTGGTATTTCAGAACAACATATGAAAGATTGCAAACTAACAGCAGTCTTTATTTGTTCTTTTAACTCAGACATGACGCAAAAGAAATGCAATAAGGCAACCGATTAGGAATCTTCCATGTTCTATCACATATTACTGACTGAAATTATATAAAGCTGTTCTAGCTTTCGGAAGATCTTAATGGCCATTCCTTTGACCTAAAGAAAGCCTTTGGCTGGGAACTCGAGACATTGTATTCAGGTGAAACGGGACTGTGTACTTTTAATAAGCAAGTTTATTCTGCGCTGTGATTCACATAGTGTGTTCAGAAAATCTTGCGAAGATTAAACAGCCACAAGCGTCTTTAAATATAACAGCATCTTTGAATGAAACCTTACCATCCAAACGTACGACAGCCTTATACTGGGCTCTGTGACACCTTTATAAGATGGCGTTAATAAATATTTCATACGTTTCTTAAGAACTCAAAATAAGCATTGACTCAGAGTGGGATTTCAGATCGCAATTGCTGGAAAATTTTATTCTCAGCGAATCAAAATTTTATGCTGTAAGTATTTGTTGCATATTTTCTTCCTGATAAATGTCAAGCTATTACTTTAATCGTATTCTCTTTTAGAGCTATTAAAGCTTTTCTTTAGAGCAGCTTTTGCATATTTTTTAATTTTGATTGCGTTTCGTAGACGTTTGAAACAGTTTTTTTCTTCAGTGAGATGGTGTGAAATAGCGTAAAGACATTCTTCTTAGTTTTTTAGCACAAGTACTACGTTATCGGAATTAGATATGAAAAGCTCTCTTTTTTCAGATTAAATTGTCTTTAATTGTGGTACAGCAGGACATTTTGCAAACGACAATTTGTAAGTTAATGTATAAGTACCAATTTTACATATTTATGCGCATATTTTTTTATATATTTATATATAACTCTATATATTGATACAAAGCTGAAAGAAATGAAAATTTTCTTCTTCCTCTTTTCGAAATAGTATATTTCTATGCATATTATTTTGCTTTTAACAAAAATAATATCAAGCTTCTATGCATATTATTTTGCTTTTAACAAAAATAATATCAAGCAATTGATATTAGTAGGAAAATATTCTCTTCATCATCAATGAAAAAAAAATAAATCAGTTATATCCTTTTTGCCATAAATAAATAATAATATCCCAATTATTTTATATAACAAATTTTGCTTTCTTGCTTTATATAAAAGTATTTACTGCAAAAGTTGTATCTGTTTTAAAGAAAAGGTATTAAAAACACCATTGTGCAATATGTAAAATGTGTAATTGATTCAAAGCGATTTGATAACATGCAATGAATTCTTTTCTTTCAATGAATAGTTCTTAAATAATAAAATAAGTTTCCCTTTTAAGTAGCAAGATTTAATTCCTTTGTGAATTATATATTTTATTATTGTTCGCATTTCCATAACGCTAGCTTCCCGCTATGAAGATGATCCATTCTTATGGCATAGTTCTCTCAAACAGGCTTGGTCGTTCACCGAGGTTGAGAAGATAACGGGCATTATGAGCACCCGTAGATGCATGAGATACTAGTTAAGTACAGGAGTGTTTGCATTATTAGTCTGAGGAGAAGTAAGGATTAGAAAGAAGTGAGTCACCCACGAGGTACTCTCTCTCAAAACGGGGGCGGAACTGAGCTAAATTGGGGGGGCGGGATAAATTTTCCTGTGGCGTGTGATAAATATTTCAATAATTTGATACAGTGCAAGAATAGAAAATATTTAAAAAGTTTTTAGCGTTTTCAGCCATTGCCTACGAATCTCATTCAAAGAACGCGTGATAATATCACTGTTGAAAGAACAGAGGGCACTGAACAAACTTCGAAGCAAAGGGAGCTTTGATAGGAGGCATTGAAAAGAGGATGGTGAACTAAAAAAGGTTAGACAACTAAAGTTACATAACACTAAAGATTTAATGAGCTTTTAAGGAAAGCGATCAGCCAGGATTTAATGTAGAAGGAACTTAATTTTAAATTAATTCTGTCATCGTGTGGTTTAACAAAACATTATGTTATTAATTCTACCTATTATTAGCAATGAGCATTAACACAGATATTGTAAATTTAAAATACACTACTCTTCAAAATTAAAGGATACTTACAGAAATAAAACTTAACCGTTTCTTTTGAAAAATGACTAACATAAATTACCATATGTGCTATTGGATTAATTTCCAAATACTGAATTTAAAGTCAGATTTACGGAAATTTAAAAATGAGGGAAAACAATCTTCTTTGTTGCACAACGAACTTTCTTTTAATATGATGAATGGTCACTTTTGAGAGAAATGCTAATGCTCACTTCTTAATTTCATGGAATTTACCAAAATACTGACAAATTTTTTTTGCGGTCTGAAAATACTTTTTCCACATTCTAGTAGTCACAAAAAACATTTGACGACTCGGCGGCACATGCCCAGTCGGATCCCATCTGGTGAGCACGCAATCTATTCGGGTGATATCTTTTGCTTAAGAGTTAGCTAATTAGGTTCAGCAATACCTTAATCACCTCTTAAGTTACAGAGGTGCTGGATTAACTTCTACCTGTACCTGTTTCCAAGTATTCTGACACTAGATACGATCGATGAGGACGAACATCGTCCTCTATTAGCAAAACATGTGTGCCAACAGGAAGCCTATACGGCTTATATATGGTTTCAAGGTCTTGTTCATATATCTATGAGTGGTTACAGAACTTCTGTCAAAGTTATGCAGCTCATCACGACCATTTTAGATGATTTCACACGAAACTATGAAACCTTTTCGATGGAAACGATTTCATGGTTTAACAGATTAAGAAGACCATAAATAAAGGAAGGCAAGTTTTTTATTAAGGCCCCCACCAAGATGGAAATATATATAAAATATATATAAAGATTGGCCCCCACCAAGATGGAAATATATATAAAAACATCTAATAATATAAAGATATCTAAAATATATCGATTTAAAGTCAGAATGCAGGGTACATCTGGATTCATCAGTAAAGACAGCATGTTCCTATACCTCTTGACTGCAGTGAACATCACGATGGCGCCATCTTTAACGGATGCCTAACGAGCAGATGAAGTGAGTGGGACCCTTGACAATTGATTTTTTTGTATGAAATCCAAACTCATGAAATCTTCGTGCAGCAGTAGAATGGCTTATTCGAGTTCCTATGGACGCCTGAAGGTCTAAAACCAGCTTTCTTGTAGTCGCTTCAATGTTTATTTGATTTGATAATAAGAGCTAAAAGTCATCGTGTCCAGTTAACTTCTTAGCCATCTTTGACCAGGCTGTCTATTGACTGATACTGCAAATCAGCACTTCAAGTTCTTTATATGACACGTTGACAAATATTCAGATCTTGGGCGATCTTCATTTTTGACCACAAACTCGAGTCTACCACTTTTGCTCTTCTCTCTTAAATAATACTTTTGAGCCATAACTAAGGATCCGCCTAGACGGTGTAGTGGTTAGGGGAGCCTACTGCGGTTCCGAAGAGCCCAGGTTCGACTCCTGGATAAGGCATAAATGTTTGTATATGCATGTATAGTATCTTAGAGGCATGGGGGAGCTCTATGACGAGCCGAAAGTTCTTTCATGTGGTTCAGTGGTAGGGGAGAGCAGTGTGAATCCACTAAATAACCAACACTACGTACTTGAATTCTAACTTGCGTCCATTACGCATTTCCAGTCGCTTGATTTGCATATTTTCATGAGCTAATCTATGCATTGAAGTCTTTTGTATTGAATTGTAGATAGTTGATATAAATAATTACTTCAAGAGAAACTAACTGAAAATTTTAATCATTGAGGTATTCTTTTTTCCAACCTTTAATTTTGTCCAGAAATGTACGTTAAATATTCTTCTTTATATGATAAAATATGTAAAAGAATATGAAAGAATTTAAAAAATAAATCATACCTGATTTCTATTGTATATTTAAGCTAACTTTACAAGCGACATCAAATATTTGAAATTAATAATATGTAGTTTAATAATTCAGATTAAATATAAGCTCAGACTAGGAATTTAAGCTGTTTCCTATTTTCATTTAAAGAAAAGGCTAAATCTTAAATTTTGGGAAACCCCTCATGATACACAGAGTAAACACAATATGACAAAGATGATACAACAGTTAAACAATAAGAAATAAAACAAAATCAAATCAAGAAACATTTGGATTAACATGGGTAAGTGAAGGGATTAGGGTACAGTTAGAAGACATTAAATACAAAATATAGACATACAAAACACAGAAAAATGTCATGAAATATAAATAATTGATAGATAGTAGTCCAGTGCATAAGGATCATATTTATGTTCATTCTCGTTCACTAAAGTGAGTTACACTAACCAATCTTCTAACTCAATTTTTGATACTATTGCCATTAAAGAGCAATTTTTGATTGTTTTCTTGAAATTCAGTCGTCAGATGAAGAAAATAAAATAGCAGTTTCATGAAACTGTAAAAGCTTCATTCGAAACACTACATTTAACATCAAATAAATTCAGTTTGAATCCTCCATCAAAATATTTTTATTTAATTCATTTTTCATTAACGCATTATTCTTATTAGTATCTACTTCATCTTAAATCTAAACAGAAAGTGCATCAACCTATGAATATTATGTGGTCCTGAAAGGCAGTATAATATTCAAAAGTTACCAGAAATGCTGAAATAAACAAAGTGCTTATTTTGTACCCGCAACTGATTTAAAGCTTCTAAAGAATGGCTTAACATTATAATTCCTCACTAAAGAAATATATAGAGAAGCACAAAGATGAAACAAATGAAGACCTAGCTTTCGTTCAGGCTATGGTTAAAATTTTATCAGGTTTTTAAATTTTTCAGTTAATTTTTCTTACAGGCGATATAAGAAGATATAAAAAGTGTTTCCTCATAAAGCGCAATAGTAATTTGCTTGATATTCTTTACCTGTAATCTGTGGTCTATTCAGAATTTAAGTTATTAATTCAGACTTTATAGTTTATATGAAGCTATTTACAATGAAGGAAAATTAGTTTTTAGGAGCTTTGATTTAGAATTGCACTTACCAACATCTTCTGGCTTGTGGTTCTTTATGATTTCCGCTAGACGAAGGTTGCCGGCAATGACAGCCACTTGGTGGGGATTCTGATTGGCATAATTCAAGGCATTCTTGTCGGCGCCTCTGAACAGCAGCACCCGGGCGCAGCTTTCTTGGTCGTTGACGGCGCACACGTGGAGAGGCGTGTTCCCGCTCGCATTCCTTGCGTTCATGTCCGCCCCGTAAAACAGAAGATGCTCAAGGTGCTGAACTAGTCCATACTTGCATGCCTGAGGTTTAAATAAAGCAAAAGAAGCAAGTTAGATTTCCCAATTAAATTTATCGTTCGGAAATTAAAATGGTAAATAGCAACTGATATTTATCAAATACAGGATAAGTCAGAAAAATGACCTCAAGCTGAAACGGAAATAATAAAGATAAACGTAATAAAAATGTGATAAATGTGATTGCGCATAGTGCAGAATCATTTATGGTCAGTGGGAGAAATACGCTTGAAACTGCTGTCCTATTTGCAGAAATGTCGATGATATACACGCTCGTATATAGAGAAAGAGCAGAAGTGATCACATTTCATTAAAGATTGTTACCAATTCACATCACCATTCATTCGGCTTATCTGCTCTATTTACTTCGTTTAAAAACGTTTTTTACCAACGCTATTCTGTCAATAAATCCTTTTCTATTCGGTCCATACTGTATGCACCCTTCCCCCCCCCCACGGGGATCGACGTAGAGAACTTTGCGAAGCTACTGGCTAGGATCTGTACCTAGGCAGTCTCGGCCACGGGGGTATAAAATTTATGAACTTGGTGGTTCTGAAGGCCCTGGGAAAGGTCACTTATTGGCCGACCTCGGGCTCTGGCATGTTCTGAGCGGTGTGGAACCGTAGCCGGAGGGCTAGTTCCCCTCGGTTTGCTGGGTAACGGCCGACTGCGACGGGCTCGCCCATGCGACTGGCAGGAGCAATTGACGACCAGTGCTGCCTGGTGTATATCCAGGTAGTGTGTTACTTTCCTGGAAGGGTAATATCCAGGTAGTGTGTTGCTTTCCTGGAAGGGTAATATCCAGGTAGTGTGTTGCTTTCCTGGAAGGGTAATATCCAGGTAGTGTGTTGCTTTCCTGGAAGGGTAATATCCAGGTAGTGTGTTGCTTTCCTGGAAGGGTAATATCCAGGTAGTGTGTTGCTTTCCTGGAAGGGTAATATCCAGGTAGTGTGTTGCTTTCCTGGAAGGGTAATATCCAGGTAGTGTGTTGCTTTCCTGGAAGGGTAATATCCAGGTAGTGTGTTGCTTTCCTGGAAGGGTAATAGTGGAGGTTGAATCTTCACGAAGTGCCTAAAGGGGGAGTAGACCCGTAATGTGATTTAGTTCACGAGGCGGGGAAGCCAAAACCTTGTATGCACCCTTGTCATTCCTTTTGCTTCTATACTTTCTTCATACTTTAGGTACTATATTGTGCCTCTATAATAAAATTTCTATCCTTCCCAGTTGATTCTTTGCAAAATTACGGCCAAAATCAGAAAATTGCTTACGTTTTGCACACTAGAGTATTAACTTAGCATTTAAAACCAGGATCTTGTTTTTTCCCCCTAAAGAAAGAAAGAAATAACCTCTTATTGATTTTATTAAATTATTAATTAAATTATTGAGATATGTCAAGCTGATGAAAAGAGATTGTGTATACATTCAATAATCGAAAATATATATGAAATTAAAAAACTAAAACATTCAGTTTCTTTCAAATATAAAAGAAAATATTTCTTGAAATATATCATTTCGTGGTATGTTCTCATCAATTTAAAAATTAATTTTGCTACTCTTTTAAACTTCATATCACTCACTAATTAAAGTTGATAATTTTAAAATCAATAATTTAATCTGAAAAAGGCTGCAGTTTTTTATAATTTATTTCTCAGTAATTAAATCCCCATTAATTTAATGGCTTTAAAACTGACTTGAAACAAATGCGTAAGTTCTATATATTTCAACTAATATAGGAGAATTTGGAAATCACCTTCATAGTTGAAGTCCGATTCTCTGAAAATAAGGTCCAGATTATAATCATAAGTGTTGAAAACGTTTTGTAGAGCGTAATGTTAAAGAAGGTGTTTACACATCTTTAGAAGGATTTCCATAAAGAATTTTAAAAAGCAAATGTTTTGGAATTATTTGAAATGAGAAATATCACCTGCTACTTTTAAATTTATTCTTCTTTCATAATGTCGCACGTAAACTAGCTGTGGAATGAAGGCTATGTTTCTGCACTTTCTAGAGAGAAATATTTTTATTTTATAACTCAAAAACTTTGTAAAATGCAGGGTATTAAAATTTTTAAGTACAGAATATACAACATTATTAATCGAAAAGGGAAAAACCGTCAATCATTACTTCTACATGAAAAGAAGACTCCGAACGAGTATCCGAAAAAGGTGCGTACTGTTTCTAAAGTTAAATCATTGGTAAAAGAAAAAACTCGCCGACTCAGAAATCACTTGCAAAGTCATACACGTATTTATACGTACGCAACAATAAATAAGTTAACAAACAAAGATTTACAACTTAAAAAGCTATAAAACATTATGGTAACAAGTTTTTGCCAAGGCATGTGGCTTAATGCAGAACTTTTGTAGAGCCCTCTATGAAAACTACTTAGCAGAAGGAAGATAAATGCGAAAACATTGTAATCCACGACGAAGTATGAATTTACCTAAATAACTACAACAAAAAATAGGCCTGCGTAATTATCAAAAAGGAAGAGAAAAAAGACATGGTAAACCGGGTTTTGCCATTGCAAAGAAAGTTTCGGTAAGGGGTTTATGATCGGTGCAGGATTGTCTTACAATGGGGAATTAAAAATAAGAATGGGAAAATATATTAAAATCAACGCATTGTACTATCAAGATAAAGTTTAACGTCCGATATTTACAGAATAAATTCCATTTCTTTATCTCAGTGATTTTTCAGAGCGTGACACTTCATCGAAAGAAACTAACAAATTATACTTCGAAATGTACCTCTGCATTTCTTGAAAAATTGAAAAGTGATGTAGGCATGTTAAAGTGAAAGACAGAAATTGGAGAATGTCGACTTTCACTAGAGAATGTCAACATTCACCAAATACGTCGGTGAGAAATCGAATATTGCATTACATTCTTGTGCATTCGGACCCTCACCGGTGTATAACGACAATCACAGATATGCTCTAGTGTAGGTCGAAAAGAAAGGAATCGACAAAGAGGTGACTGGATGTTTCCCGTCAAATCCTTTGTTCTGGTGGGTGTCAGTCAGCTTTGTCAGTCTTATGCAAGGTTTGATGGTGCAAGCAACTTTTTCTTAATTTTTTTCCCCTATACTCTAATTACACGCTGTCATTGTAAAAGGAAGTGTTCCACAAATAAATGCAGTTGTAAAAGCAAGGGCCTCTTGTGCAAGTCAAAGTGTCATAATAGTTTAAGTTGTTGCAATAAATAAGATTTAAATCACATAATTTAGTAAGTTTTTATTACTATTATTTTATTTTCTCATTTAGAACGTACTGCATAATTAAGTAACTTTTTAACTTCTATTATTTTCCTTTCTCATTTTGAATGTATTTGGGAAATCTATACATATACCGTTTCTAACAAAATGCTTTAGTAACACGGCCATGGATATTACAGAATTCATCATTTTATATACATGTAATTAATATTAGGTGTAGCTGTTGTTTGGGAAAATTCGAAGCCTGCGAAGTGATTTATCACACTGTTTAAAAATGTATACTGCAGAAAAAAAGGGGAGGACAGTTCTGTATCTCCCGTTATACGGGGCCAATTGATGGAATTCAAGTTGCGTTTCTCATGTCTTCAAAGCACGACTTACGATATATATTAGATTCATATATAGCATTGTTCTAAGATAGGTATTTTGACACAAAATCGGACATTTTATGAAATGATATGACATTTTTTCTCCATACGACTCAAATTATGCCAAACTCCCAAGTTTTGTTAAAATCGGACAAGTAGTTTTTCAAAAATCGGCACTCAAAATTTTAACCCCTCAATGTTAATTTACTTTGATATATTATATTTATTAATATCACTTTTTTATTAAACTTAGTTGAGTATTGCTGTCACATTTCGAAATTTGGGTTCATTCCAAATAAAAATAGCCAATTTTTTGATTTATTTTTTAAATTGTATCTTTAAATAATATTTATTTATAAATTTATAAATTTTTCGAAAAACATTTTGAATTATAACCTATAAAAGATTTAATATCATCTTAAAGAAACTCTATTTTTACGCATACCTGCAAAAAATTAGAGTTTTTTAAACAAAATTTCCTAAGATATACGTTAATTTACATATCGGCGCGTTTTGAAATTTGGCGTACTTATTATAAGCGATAATAACGAAAATGTTGTTGACACACTTTGTTAAAATTATTTGAAAGAATGAACGATGAAACTTTTTTCCGCTCATGCACCAATGAAAAAAAAGGAAGTACGTGGGTTGTGATAAATTCAGAACTTTGCCAAGTGAATTATTCTTGCCGCAAATAAAAAAAAAAATCACCCAAGATAAAGTTTTGAATTTCTCCGTAAATGTAACACCAAAATTTAATATTTAGGCATAATTTCAGTCGCAGAATCGAGATATGGAAAACAATTGGCATGTCATTTCAGAAAAAGTCCGATTTTGTGTCAAAATACCTGTAATATAACGATGCTATATATAAATCTAATTTATATCTTAATCAAGCTTTTGAGGCACGAAAAACGCAATTGAATTTCGTCATTCGGCGCAGTAGAACGAGTTATATAGAACTGTCACATTTTTTTTTCTTTTGTGCGATGTACAAGAGAGAAAATTAACATATATAATCTAAAATTTCTGTTAAAAGTGACTGATTATCATAAGCAATTTTAGAATGACAGTAAAGAGTAATTCATCTGTTTCGAGTCGTTAAACTATCAATATGCAATAGAGAGATGAATTTTATCAGGTTTAAACTTACGTTTCATTGAATCAAATGGACAAGAGGTTGGATCAAGAGAGTTTAACAGCAAAATTATGTCTATGATAAAATAATAAAATTTAAAATTAAATAAAAAAAAGTGCTTTTTCCCACACCTGATGAACTTCTTGCCAACCATGAGGATCGGATGTGCCGATCATGGCGTGATCATGAAGAAGCATTTCTGTGAGTTGAGGATTGCTATTGTAAATGACAGAGTAGTAGAGTGTCGTCAATCCTCTCATGTCTTTATAATTAGGAGAGGAACCAAGGTCAAGCAGCGTCTAGAAAATATGAAAATACAAAAATAACAGTAAATAAGTAAATATATGGCAATTAATTTATAACGCACTTAATTTCGTATCTTAGCATAAAGATGTATCGAAAACCGACACATATAGCCTTTCAAAAGAATTTAATAAATATCTAAACTAAAAATATATTTTTAAAAGCAAGAAGAACATAATCTGAATAGAGTTTGTTTATAAGACCAGTTTATGGACGTAGAGCCGGTCATAAAACGGTCACTACCCTTTTGAGTATGGTATTTAAGTTGTCTTGCTCAATATGATGGTCAGATTTGGATGATTTCGATTCCTACCTGATTCTAAAGAACGAGCAAATGAAAAATAATTACACAAAACGAAGTGCTAGCTCTTTTACAGTTCGCGAAGAGCTATTTTTGGAAAACTGCCATGACTGTTTGATTCCTCCAATGTACACACTAACATTTCATCTTTATTATTTTATGTGTGTATGAGCGCGTATATATATGTACGTATGTATTAAAGATGTGATATTCGTTCACAAACTGAAAAAAAAAAAAAAAAAAAAAAAAAAGCTTCATTTAGCTCTTTTAGAGGTTACCAGCAAAACCTTTTGTTGAAAACGTGCAAGGAAATTCCGATTCCCATGTTAAAAGCGAGTTTCATTTTTATCATTTCCTAACTTTTTTATTTTTTTATTTCAGCATTTTATGGTTAGTCCTCTGTAGAAAGGAGGTTTAGGAAGCATTAAAACTACACTTGAAAGAAATCAGTGTAGAGAGTTAGCGTCTGATTGAAATTGATTCGTCCGATCCCACTGTTTGCTCGAGTCTTTTCGATCTTTGCTGCCATTCTTGCTAAAGGTTCTCGATCCCACTGCTCGTTCGATTCTTTCCTCTCTCCTCTCCATCCTCCCGAACCGTTCTTGATTTCGTTTTCGTTCCTGATCTTATTCACCAAGGCTGTTGATGTTAATGAGCAGTAAGTTATAAAAAAGAGCCCGTTCAGTACACTGGGCGAATGGTTCTGATTTGAGCTCATAAAAAGGCAGGTACAAATACAAGTATGCGGAACACCAGTAATGTACTATGGGTCAACTGCTAATACCTTCCCATACTAAAAGACTGAATTCCGCCCAGGAGATGTGCATCTGAAGCTTTTCAAAGGATCTAGAGTTTAACTATTATGGTACAACGTGCTATACCACTGTATACATCTGGATATTAAAAAATTATTTAGGACATACTGAACTTACAATGCAATATCAATACAATTTGAAATTAAAAAATTAAAGTGGGAATATTTGTTTTGATGTAATAAAAATCACAGATAAATATAATAAGTAACAGATAACCATAATGAGATAAATATCATAAGTACTAGAGACGCAATGTTACAGCGAAGAATTTTTGCCCATCTCTAAAGCGATGTCGTCTGCCATAATTATTTTAGCCTTCTGGATGACAAAGCGTCACGCCAGAGCTAGCTGCCCTGTGCAATATTGCTGTTGAAAATTTATAGAAAAAAGAGCAGATTGCTCTACAATCTTTCTTCTTACAATTTAAATTTCATCAAAAATCTGGAACACATCTTGGGTGAAATTTCTATTCACCAATAACTAGTCAACAGTTGAAAATGACGTCAGTAAAGAAATGGATATTGACCGTAGAAACGTATTGATGACTTTATCCGATGTATGCAGACGAGATGCGAAACATACTCGTATATCTAAATAAGCTCACCTTGTACTGACCTCTTAATGTTTTCTTAATTTAATTTTGCACATTGATTTATCTGCATAATTTCATTCGGTTACTTAGCTCATGAATTATTTTATGTTTTTCCTGTCTCTTCTATTTTACATCGATATTCACTATCATGCAAATTAAATTAAACGCAACTAATTAATGGTAGGTTTTTTAAAGTTTTGAGGTGTGCTGCTGTAAAAATGTGCTGAGGATGTAAGATGAATATAATTGTCCTACTCTTTATTGATATAAAAATGTTCGAAAGGATCTTGGATATGAAGAAAGGTTTCTTGTGAGAAAATGTACAAGAATAAGACAAGAATACGTAAAGACGAAAAAGAGAAATGCAAAGCAGCTGTAATTAAACAAACCTTATTCAAAGCTCTCAAAAGTCTTTGGAGACCTTAATAGGAGTCCAAATGCTCACAATGCTCAAAATTATGAATATGCTGAAGAATATATTAGTACAAAAACGAGCTTTGAGTCAATAATTATTATAATGATTAGTTCAGTTTTTTTAAAACTAATTTAAGAAAGCAGTTTTCAATTTACTAGTCTGAGAAGAAATATACAAAACATCAAAGTGTTTTTACAATATGATCTTACATACAAATGAGTTATTTTACCCTTAAGGCTTCTAAATTGTTCTTTTCCACCGCCTTGTGCAATACAGTGCAACCATCTTTGGTACGGAAGTCCAGATGAGCTCCACCGTTCACCAAAGCCATGATGACCTTCGCCGGATGTTTCAAAGATGTAGCCAGTGTGAGGGGAGATTCTGCCAAAGAAAGAGATAAAAAATACAGTGAATAAGTAATAAAAATATACAGTAACATTTGAGCGAGAGTTTCATGTAACAATGAGAGATTTTTAGAAGAGGGATGTTTTGAAGAATTTAAAATTTTGAACCTTGGTATTTGTCTTCTTAACAAGTTGTAGAAACATTAGGTATTTTTGGAAGCAGGCAAGATAAAAAATAAGAAATTGCCTTCGCCGGGAATCGAACCACGGACCTCTGGAATACCGATCCAGCGTGCAGCACCACTACACCATGAGGGCACGCTATAAAGGCAGGAGAAATGCCTTATATACTCTCCTTTTTAAAGGGCGACTGGGGGTTTTAGGGGACCTAATCGCCAAATCCTGGGTGAGGAGAAACCTCATCCGACACCCTTTTAGTTCGGGTGCCATTGGAAGCAGGCAGGATGAAAAATATGCAACCACCTTCGCTGGGAACCGAACCACGCACCTCTGGAATACCGGTCCAGCATGCAGAACCACTACACCACGAAGGCGCGCTAGAAAGGCGGCAGAAATACTTTATAAAGTTTTAGATTTTATGCATTATTACATAAATCACGTTTATTAACTTAAATCCTGGATTAAGAGGAGAATTAACCATAGAAATACGCTTTGCTTATAAGTTCATTATAGAAAGCATGTCGACTTAATTCTCCTTCATGAAATGATAAATTCTGCGTGAAAGGGCTTTTCGCAAAGTGATACATCTCCTTCTCACGATAAATTAAGAACCATAGTTCATTTGATTTATTAATAATGCGTAATTAAAAATTTTAATTTTCTCTTCATTGTTAGAAAAGGGTTGGGAAAATTCTAGGAAATGGCCTATCTAACATGTCAGTTATAATAAGTTACAACTCGAGTTAAGTTATAATGTCTGGTAAGCTTGGCTAATATAAAATGTACTCGACGTTGAAAACTGTTTGGTGAATTATCACCAAGTCCTTTAAAAGTACTACAAAATCAGGAGAAAGGTGTAATGAACCCTCTATTAACTCAAACCAAGTTTCATAGATGGCATCAACTCGTTCTTACCAAAGGCAAAACTTTTGGTTTAAATTAACAGGTAACAGATGATTTAAAAATTAATGAAGTTAGGTACAGCCTAACGGTTTCACATGTTAACTATCGTATAAACTGGCTGTAACTTGAAAGTCGGAGTAGACAAGCCTGATGGCAAGGATTATTCAACGCCGCATTAATCTAATCGCTAGAGAATCAAAGATATCAACATAGCCTTCAGACAGTCAGAACACGTTCTGATTTCACCTTCCAAAACCTTCCCTTAAATACTAAATTCTTTCTATTTCATTTGAACACACGGGTGTTTTGTCAGTTTGTAAAGTGTGAGTTGAAAGCAAAAGCGATATAAAAGCTGCTTAAACACAAAATAACTGTTAACCAAATTAAATAAATCCTCCCAGAGCGATTAAAGCAACTATGCAAAAGTTTTGAAGTTATTATTATAAAGTATTCCAATAAGTATTTGAATGCCCATCAACACATGTAATGGACGGATTATGAATGCCTTTTAGCAAGGAAGATACATTTAGTATGTTTGTAATTAAATGCGCTTTTCTATTCCAGTTTGAATTATAAAAGTTATTAGGCATTTAAATAATATTTCAACAAGCAATTCCTTAATAACTTAATAAACATTTTGTCAGTGAAATACGTTAAAAGCAGTACTTTATTTTTGCAAAGAGCTATTCATTACTTAAAGATGCATCTTGCAAATTCCGATGCCATTGACGTGATTTAGTACTTTTTATCTGGCGCTATTATTTAAGGTAAATGCAATATCTTTAGCCTAATTCTTTAGCAATAGCGCATAGATTGAGTTACTTTCTATGGACTTAACCTCATTATATATATCGGGAAGTGCAATATCGATCTTCTTTCTCTTCACTAAAAGAAAAGCATCGTATTCATAGGATACTGCCTATTAACGCGAGATAGTCTTGTCATCGTCACGGTTTATATGTCGGTGTCAGAAGGTACGTTCCCACGAATTTCTTTCCACCCACATAGTTGCTCTGTGACACGTCTCAGATACCTCACGAGAGTGGTTTTTTTTTTTCGTGATTGGCGCATCGAAAGAAAACTTGTTAACTCTGCGTAGTTGGAGAACTCCATCTATGTCAGCTGATCTGAAGGAAACAAGCACTAGCAAGGAAATACCATCTTATGTGAAGGTATTTTTCTTTATGTTTCCATTAATGTTTCTTGTTTAGTTTTCTTATTTTAATTAAAGTCAGGAGACACAGAAGTACATGAAGAATTTGTAACGTTAAAGGAATTTTCGGCGTACCTTCCATGCAAAGGGCATTAAAGATAAAGTATCTTTATAACTTATTACTAAAGCGAATCGAAAAGACATTTTGGTGCATAATTTTGTATATTAAACATCGAAGGTACTGACTTCCTTCTTATGACACTGCTTAAAAGCGAATGAAAATTTTACAGTTTCGATTTCAGTCACTCTTAAATGATTTTAAAATTACCGTCGTTAGAAACCTTTAGAGTCTAATATTTTCATATTCATGTTTCTCTTCGTTTTAATGTGAGAAAGCACTCGAGTTTTGAAGACTTTCTGAAATAAACGGGTTTTTGATGAAAGAAAAAAAAAAACCAACAAACTTTCTGCATACACTTCACTGAATAGCCTAAAATCAATCCCCCAAGACTGCTCCCATTTTGCAGCTTTAACCACTCAGATACTGTCATAGACTGACCAGCAAAGAATATTAGTGAGCTGTAACAGTTTAGTGATGACATTAACTTTAGATCAATGTACGCAAATGCCATTCAACAGCGTCTGCCGTCAGCGATCTGCAGTAAAAGTCATTACTGAGCTGTTAAACACATTTATCAAAATAAGCTGAAGAATTATCAACAATAATGAAACAGCTTTCAACTTCCTTTGGTGTCCATCCATTTTCTGAACATTCAGATACATCCGATTCCAGTCTGCTTTCTAATATCATATTATTTCCCAATAACAATAAACGTACAATAGTTTACTACAATGGCTGTATTATTAAAAAAATGCAAACACGATACAGCTTGCATAAATGTTGCCCCTAATGCTGATTTTTGGGTACGGGCATTCAGCAACATATCGTCTCACACAGAGCCTCATTATCTTCATACCATAGCCTTTGCAAGTGAAGCTGTGTTCATTGTCATCGGTAAGAGCAGAGAAGAGTTTAAAGGGAACATTCACTAATACAAGATGGTTGTTTTTAAAGATTTATGCTTCAATAAAATTCAGAAATTTTTGAAAACAAATCAAGACCTTTCATATTTACTAAATCATCTCATAAATTCTGAGATTTATTTAAAAAAAAATTTCTCAGATTAATCATAGATCGAAAATTTATACAGATAAAAAACACTCTGTATTTTAATGTTTGCCCCAGTAAAATACGAACAAGTTTCCATGAAATCTACAACTTCCTTATAGTTAAAAATTAATAATTCCTTATATTTAAAAATTCTTTTTTTTTTCCTACAGCAATTTAAAAACGCAGCAAATTATGGGAGCGGCAATGTTGGCTGAGCCAGTGACTATAAAAAGAAGAAATGTTAATTATGAACAATTTAACAGCTTTCTATTTTAAACATCATAAAATCTCTCTTGCTGGAATTATGCTATTTCATATTTAATCAGAATATAAAGCTTTTAAATCTAAAATTTCACAGTACACGATACCAACTTCTTTCTGAGAAATCTAGATAAAAGTGATCCCTCTAGGACGGAAAGTATATACGCTCCTATCTACTACTGGTTTGTAGAAATCAGTCTTAAACTTCTACCTGAATCTATTCGTTATTAGGTGCCCCATTCCTTCATATTCGCTACAAGATAAACTTAATGATTTTAGACTGTTTTATTTGCGCAGAGAAAACGGCAACCCAAACCATTTACGTTTCAATTGCAGTTGGAATGACTTTCATTACAACACACTCAAATACAATATATATATAGAGAGAGCAAAAGTAGTATGTTATAAAAGCTAAACAGTTTCATTACAAGATCGTCAACCTTTTGTAGCTTCTCGATTTAATATATATGCTTTGACAATAAAATTTGGACGGTATGTTTACAAACAAAAATTTCTTTACTAAATCAGAATAAATAATATGTTCCTCCAAAGTAGTATCCGTTGTTACAATGCCTTTTTGGTGATCACTGTACAGTTCCTTAAAACTACGGGCAAGTGACAGGTGAAGCAGGGTGGCACCTGGTGTCTATAAGAGGTAAGCAGGTGTATACCCTTCCACCTCCATTATCCAGCGTTTATTGAAGAACTTAAGAATTTAGTTAAAATACATGGGCATACAAGGGCTAGGTGGCGGTACATAGGATACAGTTTTGAAGACACAGGATGGAAGGGGTATATTGCAATGCCAGAATGTACATAAAACAGAGAACATGCAAAATTCTCTTTCAATATAACATATACAGTCCTCGTCATACGAAAATCTTTATGTCTTAGGGCTCGCTTCAGATGGAGTAACAGAAAGAAGTCTGTTGAACCAAGTTTCACTCCAATAAGATGAAGTTCTGATTGTTAAAATGTCTGTAATGCTTTAGTTAACCTTGACAACATATAAGTAAAATTATAAGTCAGTTACTTATCATCCACAAACATTTTGAGACTGGCAAAAGGAAAAGCTATTTGCGATAAGTTATAATTTATTCCCTTTAACAGTGTATATAAATTGATGATTAGAATTATGATTCTAAAATCATAACATTGGTACGAGAATCTGAAAATTGAGACTAGCAGCAACCCATGTGCGTCCAGCATAGATAATTTTTTAACTTGCGTTTGATCTGTATGATTACACTTATAAACAGATTCTTATAAACAGATTGGATAAATTTACTGAAAATTTCTGGTAGATTAGCAACTGTTTGAATGACTTGTAAACGAGCAGCATAGTCTAGAACTACAGAAAATTTTAGAA